TATTTATTCTCATTAGTATTTAATACTTAACATGCATGCACACATTCAAATACATACGTACGTACATACATGCATACATACATACATAAATACACAGTACATTCATTTCATACATCTATGCATCCATAGGTATTTCATCTAGAATTTTCCAATGTTGGTTAACTTGAATGTAATATCATTCATTATTTGTTTCACAACACTGAGCTTCAATTTCCTGTTAATAATGTCTGTATTGTTGTATATACTATACATACAATATACTCATACATACGTACATACATATATACATACATACATACATACATACATTCATACATACATACGTACACACATACATACGTACACACATACGTATATAGGTACACACACACATACATACATACATACATACATACATACATACATACACACATATAAACACATACATACGTACATACATACAAGCATACATTAATGTACAACTTTTTATTGATGCATTCCTGAATAAGAATGAATTAAAATCACATCACATGGAGGAGATAGAAAGAATGTATATCATTCATTTTTTTTCATTCCTTCATTTATTTATTTTAACATCATACCGCTTGTTTTTCTTTCTTTTTTTCCATTCATTCATTCATTCATTCTTATATTCATTTTTACCAATGAATTTGATCTCCTATAAGTTCTTTGATTCATTTTTTGATACTTATTTGAGTCTTTGTTTGTTAATCATTTATTCTTTCATTTTACTCATTCACTTATTCGTTCTCTCCCTTCTCTCGTTCAGTCTGTATTGTTCATTCATTTTTTATGGTTTGATCATCATTGATAAAACTTTGTTAATCATTCAACTACTTTCTGTTTTATACATTAATTGCCATCTTTTTTTACTTATCTAGTCATTCATTCATTCATTCATTCATTTCAATTTATTTATCCATTACCAATTTTGTAAATTTTACTATGGCTGATGTGCCAAGTGCTCTATTAATTAATTAATTATAATTAATTAATTAATTAATTTATTTATTTATTTGCTAGTTTGTTAGTTTAATTATTAATTTGTTTGCTTATCTGGTTATTTGTTAGCTTGTTTGGTTTTTTTTCTCAAATTCTTGAATGAATCTAAGGAATTTCCTTTTTAATTAACTATATAAATAGATCTCACAGCGCGTATGTTGGTATGTATGTATGTTTGTTTGTTCATTTTAAAACTATGTTGATAGTAATATAGAATTAAAATGTTGAAACAGACACAGGCAAGCATAAACATCAGGGCAGTTAGAAATTAAAATTTAATTGTTGGTATTGATGGTTTACATTTTCATTGCTCTACCAATTTGATGATGTATAATTTAGTTGGATAGCACTTAGTTAGTTCATCAAATGCCTCCATGGAGCGTGCCTTGTTTATTAAGCACACATACATAATACCCACACATACACATGCACATTTCACAAACACACATTCACATTTCACAAACACACATTCATTACGCTGCACATAAAAATATACACATTTCGTCTCCTTGTGCTTTTATCTGTTTTTCAATCATTTATGGAATAATTTTATTATTTATTATTTTATTCAATCATTCATGCATTAATTCATTTGTCTATTTGCTCATTCAATCATGCATTCATATTTGTCTACCCATAACATAGCATACGTTCATTCAACTGTCTTTTTTATTTAATCTTTACAGTAGTCCAACTAACTTGAAGCAAAACATTTCAACAAGCTTTCTTCATCTGTTCAAGTGCAATAAATCATTCAATCCTTCTCATTTCATTTTATTTTTTAAAATTCAAACAAACAGCAACAAGCCAGATCTATTTTTTTCTTTCTTCCCTTTCTCTCTCTTTCTCTCTCTCTCTCTTTCTCTGTCTTTCTCTCTTTCTCCTTTTTTATTGTTTTTTTGTAGTACTTTGTTCTTTCTCCGAACCATTTTATTGGGCTGTTAAACATAATAACTTGGCTGTAAGAAGTAGAAAAAATGTGGATAATTAAATTGTGGAATGAATTTTTTTCCTTTTTCTTAAGAAAGGCAAACTTTTTGTATTGTTTGAAAACATTTTGCACTGAATTAAAAAAATTATGCCATAAAAAATCAAATCACTAACTAAATAGACAAAAAATACTGATAACGACAATGTTTTGCTTATGTATTGCAGAATTTGTATAGCACCTCTTATGAGTTGACTTCAGTAGCGCAATGTAGTAGTAGTAGTAGCAGCGGCAGAAGTAGTAGTAGTAGTATCATTAGCAGTAAGAGCAGTAGTAGTTATATAACTATAGTAATAATTAAAAATTTATAATAAAACAGAAACATGCTAGAAGTTGTAGGCCTTTATACATGCCTCAAATACTATTTATAAAACATGGCAATGAATGAAAAAAATTGAATCAGCACAGCAGCTGTGATGTTGAGGAATGAATTTAGCGTCTAATTGTTTTTATCATTTCTGTTTTGTTATTATTATTTTCAATATTTTAACAATATAGCGCTTATAATTATAATATTAAATCATAATATTATTTTTGAATAGCTGTATGTTTAGTGTCTTTGAAACAAAGATGATGTAAAGCCTAAAATTATTTTGGGCTATCACTTTTCATCAACAGTAGCTGACATTTGTGTGCTGGGTTTTGTGTTGTTGTCTTTGTCTTCATGTCTGCAGAAAGTTAAATTTAATATCCTGCTCAGTTCGTTGATCATTGTCGTTGTCTTCATGTTCTTCAAATTCATTATTATGTGAAAAATCTGGTTCTTTAGTATATATTTTTCATCATGGACATCTTCATCGTCATCTTCACTATCTTCATCTTCACCATCTTTTTCATCGTTGTTATGATGTCACTACCATTATGATGTTATCATTAACTTGGTAATCTCTTTTCCTCCATCTCATCAAGTTAATTAGCCGATGATAATTGCCTGCCTCATCTGTATGTTTTCACTTGACGCTGTTTGAAATTAAAACAACTTTATTTATGTTCACTGTCTTGTGCTTGTTGGGGGGGTGATATAATTGCGTTGTGTTATAAAATTTTTTTGTATTATAATGTGTTGTATCGTATTTTATTGTATTATAATGTATTGTATTGTAATGTATCGCATTGTATTGTATTGTTGTTCTATTGTATTGCATTGTATTCAATTGGATTGTTGTATTGTAATTTTTTTATGTTCTTTCTTTCTTTAGTTTTTAGCTATTGCGTCGTCGTGTAGTTGATAATGTTAATATGGCGTGTGATGCCTATTTTAGCATGTATTCATATACCATGTTGGTGTGTTGTTGATTTCTTTGGACCTAGGAAGACATATTCAGATCTTTTTATTAAATATTAAGTAGTAATAATATAAGTAGTAATAATATTACTGATGAGATGAGAGATATTTCCTATGAGCAAAACAACAACATTAATAATAGTATACATAATACTAAATGCGTTATAATAAATGTTATTGAGTGAACCACAACTCTCATTGTTCTAGTTTTAACTTTCTACTTTTTATTATTTAAGAAGCTGAACTTTTTAAAAAGACCCACAACAGTTTATTCTTTTAATTAATAGCATAATGTTTATCAATAGGGTATAACTACTAATTAACTTTTATGTAGAGTTAGATGATTGTATATAGCTTTTTAATGATATGCAATTATTAATTTATGGACACCTTATTCAAAATTATTTTTGTTATTTATTACATATCTGTAGTAGCTCTAATTCAAGTTTTGTAGATACTATTTTGGATAGTATCAAGATAATTTTTCTGTTTTAGAGACTGTTTTCAGAAATTTGTGAAGATTATTCATATAGTATTGTTTAGAAAATGGTGTTTATACGACAATCACTTATAAAAGAGAATAGTGTTTTTTTAAATTAATTAAAGAAACAAAATTATTAATGTTATATATGACGCTTGAGAATTTTGAAATAGTTATATGAATTGGATTTTTATGATGTTTTGTTGAACAGAGTTAAAGACGTGGAATGAGCACCTGTCAGGTCTGAAGATCGACGCAGAACTCAAGAAGATCCTGCAAAAAGATCTGCAAGTCTCTAAGAGTGAGAATTTTTTGTCTTTTTGTAATTTGTTCAATATATATTCTATGATTCTGTGTAAAATTTTTCCTGTTGTTTAATTGTTTAGATGAAATTTAACTTTTACGTTATATTATTTTCTGTAGTAAAATTAATAAATTTGTGGTTTGATATAACTGTAAAAAGAACCTTGAAAAACTCTTTCAGATCATTCGGAGTTGATTGTCGTGAATAGCAAGCTGACAGTCATTCTACTCTTCAACCCAACACTCACCTGCTTCAAACAGATCTGCAAGGACTTTTTTGCCATCAAGAGTTGCTACAGACAAATCATATATTCAGGACCTGTTCTGGCATCATGTGGCAGCTGGATCCTGCAGGATTCTGTTCTCTCCATCAGCAACTTTGCTAAGATACTCAAAGAAATTGAGATGCCTGATTTTGAACCATTTTACGTTAATGCGTTTCCAATTGGGAAGTGGACGCAAGAGAATATGGAGAAGTTGTCGAGTTTGTCTATCAAGTTGAATCCATCTGAAGTGGTTGAATCAGTTGGTACAGAGGTTGATAGAGTTGTTTCTTATGAGGATTTGTTGAAAGTTGTGGAGAGATTCATCGACCTAGATGATGAGGATAATATGAAAGTAATTTCTGCTGCTCCGTCCTCCAACAAATTTCTTGATAGTCGTTTTGATCTCTGCGTGAAAAGCATCGACAATAACAGCATCATCAGCATTGGAGACTTTAAAATGTTAATCAAGGGTGACAGTTTGTGCCACATCTCGATGGACCAACTCACTAACTTGGATGTTTTGATGTTGGCTAGATCTGATCTAAGATCTTTTGAATGGCTTGCCTCATCCATTGACAAAAATTCTGATAAACATTTTAAGTTTTCCATGCTTTATTCTAATATTTTAAATTATTTAAGTGGAAAAACCAATGAATTGGTACCAGTTGCTGATGATGATAATCGACTGAAAGTGGATCCAAACATTTTCATCAGGGCATTGTTACGCTCACTTGCTGAATCCAACATACCTGTATCATCTTGTTACTCATCAAGTACTCAACAACAACAATCTATTACCCTGTACCACAAAACTGGTTTTGGAACATTGCAACTGTTCCCGATTTCTCCATCCCTTGAATCTAAAGAAGTGAAAGACTTCCAGAAGAATCCAACAACTGCTGATCAGTTTCCAGGGTCATCTTGCATTTTGGTATGGCAGCCTTTTGATAAGAAAGTAAAGCCAATTAGATTCCTTTTCAGCAATTTAATTCCTCAAGCATCTATTTTTGAAGGTCTTTCAAAGTTGAAAAACTCGATTGCTTTCAGTAACTGGGATGGTTTAAGTCAGTCACAAGAAATTATTGCAAAGGCCAAACCATCCAAATTGCAGGATAAACAAAGTAATGGCTCATTGTCAGGTGTTAAAGAGACTGCTAAGCCACCAGTTAAAGTCAGATCAAATGCTGAAACATCAAGTTTATCAAGTCTTCCAGCTGCAAATGGCACAAAAACAATCACAAAACCTAAAGTTGGCACGTTCAAAAGTGATGGTATTGATAAGAATCAAACACTTCCAATAGCTCCCCAGAAGAAAGAATTTAAAGATAAGAATAAGGCTAACATGTCCGTTTTGGGCACACCCATGCCATCAAAGATTGATCCAACATCTAAGGGGATAAACATTAAATCTGCTGTTAAGCAGAATGATAAGGTTACAGCAGAAACCAGCACAAAATCATCAACTCAGCCAAAAGTTCCTTCAAAAGCAGCAACAGCCAAAGCAACTCACACAATAACTACAACAACAACTACCAACACTACAGGCACCGCAACTGCTTCTTCTAAAATATCTCCTACTGCCAGTGCTGCCAAACCCATCCCAACAAAACAGGTTCCATCTAAACCCGCCAAGGAAGCAGGCACTGCACAGAAACATGTTGCATCAGATGCTCACACGTCTAACAAATTTACATCTAAGCCACCACTCACAAAACCTGTGGAAACAACAAAATCAACAAAAATCACTGCAAGCGTTCCAGCTGCCAAGAAGGAATTGGACAAACCAAAAGTAGAAGCAAGTCCCAAAATGGACAAGAAAAAACCAGCTCCAAAAACATCTACTGCTAAAAAAGATGCACCTGGAAAATCAGCTGGTAAAGTTATGGAAGAAAAGAAAGTGAAATCAGTTGAAAGTGCACAAGTTACTAAACCTCTGAACGAAGTTGCAGAACTGAATTCAAATAATCTTGCCACACAGGAAGTTTACAATGAAGAACTGATCACTCCAATGTCCAACAAAAGTATCGTAGAGTCAACTGAAATTGATGATGTCTGTTCAAAAAAGAAGGAACAAGTTGTTGAGAGTAGAGTTCTGTCTGTGGAGAATGTTAATGAACCTCGACTTGAAGAGAAGATGCCGTCACCTGAAAATGAAGCTCGGTTTATTTCTGACAAGATAGAAAAAGAAGAGAAAAATGATGAATTAATAAACATAGAACAACCAGTGTGCGTAATTCCTGAAGATAGTAAACTGCATGTCAATGTTGAGGCAAATTTTGTTGATGAGTGTACCCTAGGTGAGGAAGTTCAGGTGCAGACATCACCTGTATATGATAAACTAGAGGATTTAGAAGATGCTGGTGAAGCATTGATTGATACAGCAGATGTTGATGACGTTGTGGTCAGTGTTGGTGATGTTGGACATTGCATCCATGCTGACCACAATGCTGAGTTGTTTGAAAATGAAGGATTATTAGTGAACGACGATAACCAAGAAGAGCTTATTAGTGTAGGTAGATTGAATGAGGAAGAAGTTATAAAAAAAGTACAAGACATGAATGTTGAATCACTACCTCCAGTTGAAAACAATGACGACTTGCCGGAAGAGCATGTTCAACGTGATTCTCAGATAGACGACGGAAGGTTTCCCTCTGAAGATTTTGATGAGGAATCAGATGATGTGAACTTATTGCCAGAACATCAGATGACCGACAGTCAACCATCTGATCATCCTCAACCAGATTATGACTTTAAAAATGAGAACATTGCTGAGGAGAATGAATTGGTTGAACAGCAGCAGAAGCAGCAACAACAACCATTGGAGCAGCTTGATGATGGCATGATTAAAAGTGGACTCTCATTGACAGGATCAGAATCAGCTCCTAATGAAAATCTCTACAGTGATAACGTTGAAGAAGAACAGATGGGTGCCATTCGACCAGATAAACAGGTGGAACCATTTGAGAAGGGTTTGTGCGAGGGTGAGGTCATCTTTAAGCGGCAGCCAGGTGAAAAGTTCTTTGATGATTTGGAAGGTGTTCCGTTTTCTGGAAATGTTGAAAAAGACGATGATGTCTTGATGGAAGATAATGATAAAGATAGTCTAGAGCGATCCTGCGATATCATCGATAAAGTGGAGAAACCAGTACTGAATACGGCTAACTTTTTTACCGATCCGTTTGAACAGCAGGATACTACACACATGCATGATAACCACGTAGAGAAACAAGAGACTGAATCGTTAAAACAACAGTTGGAAATGGAATCAGAACCACTTGTTGCAGATGTTTCTACACATGAAACTGATGCTAACCAGTTTGATGAACACCAACATGAAAACACGGAAGTTTATGACATGGATCATCAGCATCAGCAACATCATAAACAACAACCCCATCAGCAGTTAGAACAATGCCAGCAACAACATCAACAAGAAGATCCGCATCATCAATCGCATCATCAACCTGATCTTCATCCACCTGCTCCAACTTCTGACAGTTTTATGCCAGAAGCCATCCACCTCCCTCCACCGTCAACAACTGAATTTTCTGATAGTCCAATGAATGATAAGCATGAGTTGTTCGATAAGAATTTAAAGCAGACAGCGTTTTCTGATGAGAAGATTGACAAGAACATCGCTTGCAGACAGGGCATTGGAGATGAAGAATTACAATTAAAATTGAAACAGGAAGAACAGAATTGTGAAAAAATCCAAAATGACGTTGATAAACATGCTGATGTCGATGAACCCTTTAATGTCGACAAACAAGTTGATTCAGTTGATGAAGTCAGTACAGTTGATGATATCCAGGAAGATGGAAATCTAGTAGATGTACAGATGGAGGCCATGCAAGATGGCTTACTGATTGAACACACGACAGAGAATAGCCACACTGTACCACAACAAACAGGACAACAGGCACCTGATCACTTCCCAGTCTTCAATCAACAACCTCTCATTGCTGATCCATTCGAAAGCGATTTTCCAAAGATGGAGATGAAACTTGGGGATTTGTTTCCAGGTGATGTGGCAGGCTTCCCACCATCTAACGACAGTGGCGGTAGTGGAGATGGTACTCTCTCAGACGACTCGACCAGGGCCGTCAAGGGCTCCGTTTCGGAAATCAGAACAGAAGATTTCAGTGAAGATGTTACCGCAGGTGGTGGTGGAGATTTTGTACAATTTTGTACCAACCAGATGGAGAAGTTCACTAATGAAGCTGATCCTATGCAAGAGGGGTTCTCATTTGGCATGCAGAACAACAACGCTGACATGAACGTTAACACGAATAACAACAATTCCAATAATATGATCTTTTACAATCAAAATGTTATTGGTGGTTTGACTCCCAACTACCACAAGGAAACTAATGAAGATTTTTCGGAGGAAGATCAAGACGAGTTGGAGACCATTTCCGAGCATCCAGAAAATGAAGAGGAGGACAACTGCGATGAAGGACACCAAGATTTGATGGACAAACAAATGGACAAACTGTTTGGTCCCTTGAAACAAGAAGTCGTATCAAAATCAAGTGATGCTTCTCCACTGAACAACTTACTGGTTGATATAGTAGAACAAGCTGCAGGCCCCGTCGCCGATGTTCATTGTACAAACCAGAAAGATGTAGAAGTAGTGGATAAGATCAATGTGGAACCAGATGATCATTCTGGAAAAATCGAATCTGGAGATCCTCTGAATAGTAACATCTCATCTTCCTCTTCAACTAAACAACATTTAGACTCTTTCGACCATGAAGCCCCCGTACAACCATCATCTACTGATGACATCATAGCCGCCTGGGGTGAACCAATGAATCTGCCCTCTCCCGAAAAACCCAAAAGACTTTCTTTGAAAAAGGATCACAACGCATCTCACAACGTTGCAGGAAACAACACCGCCTCCGACGATCAAGTTCCCAAACTTTCCGACACTAAGAAAACACCGAACATTAAGAACACAGAACCCACCAACAACAAGCCCAACAACATCGGCCACGACAACAAGCAACTGAACAACGTTAAAATAAAAAACGACCTGAATTTGAAAAAGATGGATTCCCAGAAAGCTTTAACGACGCCATCAATCGTCCCATTCTTCATGGATGTTGCTTTCATCCAGGACAAGAACGCATCCCACAGCAACCTCTACACCGTAGATTTCTTCAAGAAGGTCCGAGCCAAGGTGTACATCGTTCATGGAAACTCAGTGGCACACCTGGATCACCTTGTGAAGGCCAAGAAATTGTGGGATGATGGCGAGAGCACGAACACGACTGTCGTGTTTGATGGAGTAACATTCATCAACAAGATTAACGCCTGGATGGAGCTTAATGAAGAGGCTATGAGGAAGTTCAACATTAGCATCGAGGTCAATGGTGCTGACAAGAAATTTGATGGATTCCATTTAACGACTACTACCACCACTACTACTTTCCCTTAAATTCATTTTATATGTATATATCTTGTTTTATTTTACTTTTTATTCAGACATCATATATATATTATTTACGTGTATGATGTTTAATGATATATGCTACAATCAAAATAACCTTATTAACAATGTATATTATTAACTTTTTCAATTGTTTTTCTGGGTTTCAACATTTATGAATTTTTTCATAAAAACTACCCTCTTCTCCTACTCAAACATGGTATGGTAGTTTTGCATCATTGAAACTTTCTTTTTAGCAACGAACGAACGAACGGTGTTACTCGATAACACATTTTTTTTCTCGTTAGTTATGCTTATACATGCATCTTTACATAGCATACGCATATAGAAATGTATAGAAACAAACAAACAAAATGTAGAGATACAATTTCATTCTTTCAATCTAGATGCCGCCGTCAAATCAAATTTATTCAATGTAGCCATGTGATCAAATCCTCAACTTTTTCGATATTATCGATCTTTTTCGTGTATGTTTCTCCCTCTTTTTTTTGTTTTTATTTTATCTCCACAATTTTTCAAAATTAAAATTATTATTCTAGTTTTATTTTTGTTTTTATTGGAGTAAGTTTTACGTAATTGTAATAATTGTTGGTTTTGTTTGTTTGTTTTTATTACTAACTATATATATACTATACAGTCTACTTTTCAAAATTACTATTTTGTTATTTCAACTAAACAAGTCTTTAAGTATTAGTCAGTTATTTTTATTGTTTCTACGTCATTGCTTATTATTTTTTTCATTTGTTGTTGCAAAATTCAATTTATAACATTTTTCTAAATATTTAATACTACTGCTATCGTTGACAAATATATAGAAAGAAGACTATACCTTACAATGTTTATATACGTTATATTTTATTTAGATGCTTCATTAAACTTCCTTTTAGTAAAGATTCGAGCTTTCATTTTGGACAATAAATTAATATGATTTTAATAATCTTAATAGCAGACGTCATTTTTGTAATTAATCACATACCACCACAGAATAACACGCTATTAATAAACTAGAATTACAATTTTAAATCTATAACTACTAAATACGTGTAAATGAAAAATCTGCTTTATCGTGTTAAGTGCTTTCTTCTTTATGCCATTTTAAGTTCACTACTATTATATATATATTTTTTGATTCATGCATGTGCATCTGTGTTGTGTTACTAACGAAATAAATGGTTTTAAAACTATAATTTGTGTTCGCTCCGAGTAACATTTTAAAAAATTATTTCATCTGTTTTCTCATTTGCTTGTCTCTAGATTGCTTTTTTCCTTTTCATTCGGTCATGTTAGTTTATTTCTTGTAAAACTGAACTCCGCGTTCATGTCCGACGATGAATTGAAACACATTCAGGAAGCTTAATTTTATTTGAATTGGCACTTCTTTAACTTAAAACAAAATAGTTTTATAAAGGTGCTACTGTAAAACTCAACATATATCGCTATTAGTAAAATAAAGACAACTCAATATCAAGTATGCAAAATTATCGAGCATCTTCTTTTCATATTCTAGCAGAAAAGATAAATACGGCATGAACAGTCGTAGGCTGAAATGGACCTGGAAACAACAAAAGGTACAAATGTAGATAGATAATATCACACAGTTCAGTAATTGATGAATTCCCATATTTGCATTCTGGACTCAGCAGGAGAACAGTCCTTGAGTTTGGCATAATATTTCAGTTCGTGAGTCATCTTGTCTCTTTCTGATATCTGGGTCAAACATTGGTTGGGCCTCGATGTCAGTGTCAAAGTTGGCCCAACGGACTGCCATATTTGATTTTGAGAACCATCTTGGCATGTGGTGAGGATGAGTTTGTCAACGATGCCTGTCTCCTTGCCCGATGTGTCCAGGGAGAGGCAGTAATCATCTGTTGGTGCAATGGTTGAATGTCTGAATGTGACCGCAAGGTTTACATATCTCGAACGATTCGTGTGAAATGTTCGTAGAAGATTCTACGGAAACTACGGTGGTTGATTTTTTGTTTTTATGAACGTTTCGTCGAATATTGAATAATGAGATGGCGAAATGGTAACAGGAATCGCATAATAGTGATATTTAGAAGTAAAAAAACATTGAAAAAGAAGAAAATCGCGCGATGTCTGAAAAACACGTGAAGAATTGGTTGAAACTGCAATGAGATGACGTTTTAAATTGATTGATAGGACCTTTGAAGATAGCTCCATTCCTGTCCATCTCAAACATCATCTCGCTGTCGTAAATGTGGTGTCTGCATAAACTCATCTCAACATCGGCCGCAGATATCGCTCTCACACAGAATGCCGCCTTCGTTTTTAACTTCCCGAACTTCACGACATTTTCTGACGGGGTGATGATTTCCTTGGCTACGTGGGAAAGATACCTGGCAGAATTTTATTTCAGATTTTGTAAAACTAAACAATAATGTTCATGTTTCTTCTGTTATTTAAGACGTGTACGCATACAACATTTATCATGAACGTACCACGGGAAATCCTTGCATTGGATGCCGTTGTTCTTAAAATAATTCCTTCTGTTCTTCAGAGCCAGTGTCTCTTCAGCACTCAAAACATTTGATATGTTGCCTGCAATGTCCATATTAATTAACATTTGTGAAAATTTTGTTCATTAGGGTGGTGCTCTGCTATTCAAGTATGGACATTTTAAGGTGGTTCGAGTTTCAAACTTGACGACTATTCAAAAATCTGAGACGAAAATCATATTTATTTACGTCTCACTTTCTATTTGGTATGGTCTTCTCACACAATATCCGAATATATATAAACAGTTAAAGAAGAAAATATTTCTGTTCTGCTTATTTATAACTAGATATAATAATGACGTTATTCGATTTTCACCAGAATGGTCAAATGTTGAGACTGTAATGTGAATAAAAGTAACAACCTTGAAGATAAGCCAGATCTTTGTAATCATCAGTGAGCCAGAGTTCGGTGAGGTACCTGTAGTTAGCGTGGGACCTGACAGAGAGAGGCCTGAGAGATGAGTGGACTGCTACTCGAGAACATTTTGCAATAACGATCGAACCTGTTTCCATTTGTTGTTCATTTATTAAGGTCAGTTTTTTTAAATTAATCATGTGAAATTATTAAAACTGAGGTTATTTCGGATGGTATTTGAAGAAGTTTAAACAATATTAAGTAGAAAAGTTTTGAGCACCATTTTAAATTTCAATGATATGCAAGAACAAATATTAAAAAATAATTGAACTAGGAAAAGGCTGATAAGAATAATTTAAGTTTACAAAAACTCGTTCAGGTGACGACGAATATACGATGACATAATTTTTGGAATTTAAATGGAAACAAATCAGTCAAAAATGATTTTTTATTTGGAATTAAACGAACCAACAACAACCTCCACAGAGCCACGTTCTAAATGACAGCTCCAGATTTTCACCACCCCCATCGGCCTCGAAGTTACTGTCATAATTTCCAATCTTCTCCAAGAAGGACTTCTTCACAGCAAGCACCTTCGTATTGGTAGGCCGATTTCAAATTAATTTTCATTCGTAACAGTTATCCAATGTTAGTATTTTATCTGGCATTTTTACTAAAGATCTTCGTTAATACGAGAAAGATTTTCAGTAAGTAAAAATCAAATACTTATACTAGAGCGTCTATAACTTAAGAAACGATGATTTAAAAGATTTGGAAGTATCATTGAAATGAAAATAAATGACTCAAACAACACACACGCGCACAACAGACCTCTCCTCTCAAGACAGAAGTCTTCAGAAATTCTTCCTTGTCTCCTTTTGCATTTTCATAAGTGATCGTGTACAGACTCCATGCAAATGTGCTGCTCAGTGAATCGTCTGTCTTGAAGAATCTGATCAGGAAGTTGTGATGTTAAGGGTAACGGTTCGCAGAAATGATGGAAAACTAGCACAAAGAAAATATAAAAAGATTTCTTTTTCAACAGGAAACTATTTATAAATCCATTATTAAAATTTTATTTAAAACTTTTAAATAAATTTCAAGCCAAGTTAAGACATTGTTTAAAATATTTTAAAGTGTTAGAGCAACCTATGCCCTGCTAGCATGTTGTCGTAATGTGGGACTACAATCGTCTTCTCATCTAAAACAACCTGATCGAATTTAAAAAAACGAGATTGGCCAACTTTGTAATATTCTGCATTTTTTCTAATTAATCATTGCAGTTTATTTCAACGTTTATCGTCACTGAGTTAATTTAGTTTTCTAACTGAGCCATTCTTCCGTATAATTAAAATATCCATACAACCAACTAGATCATATTAAGCAATCATCAATAAATTAAATCAATTATAAGTTAATTAGGTTATTTAATTCATTCACCCAACCATTTAAACGGTGAACAGGTGTCAATCAATCTGTCAATCAAAGAACTCATCGTCAAATCACCTTAGCTATCAGTGGTTGGATCCAGCCCTCGTTTACGATGACGTCACTGCTCACGAAAACGAGGATGGTCCCGGTTGCAATGAGGGAGGCCTTCAACCTGGTGGCAGCAGTGCCCTCGTGTTTTTGAGACCTGTGATTGGTCAACGAAATCAACCAATCATCGTGAGTTATGATGAATAAAATCAAAATTTAGTTACAAATGTTACTAGCCTGTAAACCTTAACTTTGTTGAATGTTGGTTTGGCGAGGAATTGAGTAACCTTTTGCTGGTACTGGAGATCAGAGGTGCCGTCATCGATGACGATGATTTCCTCGTAGACGTCAAAAGGGGTGTGGTCAACTATGGCACTGATGGCCAGTTTGAAGTGACCCAGGTCCTCTTTGCCATAGAAGTGTAGCACTATGGAGACTGTGTCCTTGAAGTCGAACATTCTGCAGGTTGGAATAAAGGGAAAAGAAAATTTACAAGAATTAGCAGAAATCTGACAGGTCATAAATGAAATAGAGCAAGGAAACAGATGGAAAAAACCTGTTGAAATCGAAGGCTTGATCAAGGCAGTGAGGGGGTCTGGTATCTTCTAGGTTGTTCAGGTAGTCTGCCACCTCCCCATCCGACATCCAGTATTCGTCCTCTTGGTCGTACTAGTCAACAATAAATTATTACTATTTTCAAGTTTTTTTTCTATAATTCACAATCATCATTAAACGATTATTAGCAAACTATTAGTAATGAATAGATGAATGTTTTTAAACCTTAATTTGTGAATTAATTATTAAGTGCAGTACAATAGTTGTTATATATGTAGTTACACGTATTTAATAATATATACTTATATAATTATAATTATATAATTGGACAAAAAGATAATGACATAAAAATACAAGTGAATTGAGATGTGCCAGGCAAATGACATTATATCAATGTTAAAGAAAATGTTACTAAATTTACATTCAACACATAAAATTAACACTTTTAAATACCATTTAATGCGAATTACATTAAATAAGGTTAAATAATTATATTAATATGGCGGTATTATATAACAGAGGAGTAACCTTGTAGCCAACATAACCAAGTCTTCTTCCTCTCATTAAATTTGTTCCAAAATAAAGATACCCAAGTAGTGTTATTAGCAGCAGTATGATGCATTTAGAAGTTTTTGAATTGTTTATGTAATAAATTTTAAGTCTCCTAAGGGATGTTCCAAATAGGCTTGAGAATACTGAAGGTGTTGGTTGCTGGGGTTTTCTGTTTTAGAAATATTTTCAAATGGAATGTTTATCTTGAAGTATTAAATTTAATTTAGTATAAATTTATTAAGTTTATCTTGAAGTATTAAATTTTTTAGAATTAATAAATCATTTTGAATGAATTAAAATGAATATGGAAACGTTTTCAACGTAATCTATTATTATTATTATTATTAAATTAACGTAACTGACCAGAGGGCCCCAAAGAGGGAATCAAATAGCACAAAATGTTAGATTGACACATATTAAAATAAGTTTCAAAACGATGATATAATCAATTTAAAACTCTTCTACAAATATTATTTTATAAATAATATACAAACTTTTCCATCTTTAAGAAAGTTATGAAATATTGTGGAGGTAGGTAGATTTGAAGTTAGCCTGCTGACTGTTTGAAACTTTTTATCAAAACTCAGTACAAATGATTTTTATATTTTTAATATTATTTATTAATTACTGTTCATTTTGGTTTTTGCAAAGTTTTTGATGTCTTGCAGATTTAAATTAGCTTTAAATATAGCTTAATTAAGAATAAACTCAATTGCGACATGCACATTTGAGCAAGACAATCATAAAACAATTAATTAATTAATTATGTTTTAATTAAATTATGTGCAATGTGTGGCGTGTGAATGTTGTAGTGTGGATGTTGCCAACTGCAGGTTGTATGTAGTAAAGCAACTGCACACGACACGACACGTATAATGAAATAAAAATAGAACAAATATTTCGGAACGAACTAGAATAGTAGTAGAACCATTTCATTTTATTGAGGGGTCCAAAGCTTTTCATTCATTTACTACTTTTTAATACATTAAAACTACCATTCAAGGCTGTAGCATTACTATATTACTAAACTACTATACTCAAATGTACACACACACAAACACACACACAGAAAGAGAGAGAAAAAGAGAGAGAGAGAAAGAGGAGAAAGAGAGACAGACAACACACACACAAATATTGTATATGCGGTATAATTAAATTACATTGCTTTTCAAATTTCCGAATGTGTGCACACCTTTATTGTTGACGATTGTAATCAAGGTGTGACAGGACTGGTGCCATATATCGGTCGGTATAAAAAAAGATACGGTTTAGTTTTACGGATAAGGTCTTGAGAATCGGAGTCGGAATTCATTCCATCGGTTAATGTATACTTAGATTTTTTGCAGTTAAATCTTCTAGAAAGTTAATTTAATTACGACAGCGTTCATTTTATCGCTAATCATCATATGACAAATGACTAAATAAATATGGCTGGTTACAGTCCAATTAACATCCAACAAAATTGAGTGAAGAAAATTTTTGGGGGTAATTTTAATTGTGTTAATCACTTAATTGGCAATCTGGAAAATTTTACAAAATATTCTAGAGACTCATGTTATGTTTTTTTAGAAAGGAACCTTGGACTGAAAAAGTTACGATGAAATCTTTCCACTGTATCCATGTTTCCAATGAACTGGGCGCAGTAGTTAGGGGAGAGTTGCTCTGAATGTAACGTTTCCTTGATCGGAACGATGGTTTGGTCGCAAACTTAAACACATTTTAACTGTTACTGATATGAACGCATTTTTCTACCATCATGCCTTACAACAGAAAGTCACAATTTTGTGTCTACTTTTACGCAATAACTCAATAAAAACATTTTTCGTTTTTCGACCAGGTTAGTTTAAAATTTACGAAACATTTAGGTCAAAATTAAAGTTTCATATAAATTTCTCAAAAATATTTTATTACCGTCATTCAAATAGTTGAGGTAATACGGATTAATTAATTATTTATTTTCTACCATGCTTACAACCTTGTTGGAACTATCTTAGGTTTTTTGAGTACAGACCCTATTGCCTAGATTGGAACATGCCAGTAGTCTTCCAATCAGGGCAACATGTTATTTAAAATCTTCTGAAATAACGACAACATCTACGACTGCAGCAACAACATCAACTGAAACTGCAGCAACTTATACTGCATCACCGGCATCTACAAGAGCTACTGAAGGCTTTGTTCAAGTCTTAAAATCACCATCGAATAATCATTCAATATCTCAAGAACACATCTCAGTTAACACTCTTTCACCCTTACCAGTTATTGGAGTTGGAGATAAAGCAAAAAAAACTCGTGCAACCCGTGCAGCCGATGTCACGAGTACGCCGTATAAAAACAAATTGGAAAAAATGCCAGTTAATATTAAGAGGGCAGTATGTCGAAAACTCGAAGTTATAGTTTCAAAAAAAAAAATTGATAAAACCGATACTCAAAATCAGTAAAGTTAAGAATAAAAAAATAAAATTTGTGGAAAGTGATTCATCTGATTTTGAGAATTTATCCAAAAGCGACGCTGAAGAAAGTAAGGATGGACAGTCGAACTATGGAATACTTATAAATAATTTTGAAGTTGGAAAATGGATGCTTGTGCAATACAACACAAAAAGTCAATCAAGGTCCTATGTTGGCAGAATTAATAATAACAATAACGAACATTTAAATTCAAAGGACGGTAAATGAGAAGTTCACTTTATAAGGCGAAGTCAGCGAAGCAACAATTTTATCGATTCTTTGCCACCGAATCAAGCAGTAGATGATGTCGATGAAAATGACATAATAACTGTATTGCCAGAGCCTTCTGTTTGCAGAGGAATCTATACTTTCGAATACGATTTTTGTAACTACATGGTAGAATAATTATTTCAGTTAAGTAGTCGACTAGTCGTTCAATAATTATAGTTAAGTTTTGTAGACCTGTATAACTGTAAAATTTATAAAAACTTTACATATGATAGTTTTTGTATTTTTTCAGATTTTGACTTTTGAATATGATTTTTTACAATTAAAACACATTACGAATAACATAATTCACTTATTTGAGCTGAATAATGTAATAAAATTCAATAAATCATATCTGTCTCAATTAGGGCAACAACGATTTTCAGTGTTCCAATTAAGGCATATATGAGTTCCACTCAAGGCAACTGGTTCCTTGATTGGAACAAATGCATGTGGTTGTTTTATCTTCATTTTCCAACTTGTCAAGTATGCCTGTAAACATCTAATGTGATTCATATATACACAATGTTTTGCTTGAGAGAATGGCTATCACATTTCAATCTTGTTGCTAAACATAAATCTTTTATGACCATTTTTTGTTAAGTGTTCCATTCAGAGCAACTCTCCCCTATATTAACATATTAGATTTGCAATATTTAAAGGTGAACTTGTTGACTGGCAAGATGATTGCTCATTTTGCGTTTGTAGGTGATTACATAATGTTGAAATTTTTTCTACGTCGATGGTTCAAGTGTAATAGTTCAATTCATATAAAAAAATTCCATTTTATTAAATAACATGGAGCAAGAGCTCTCCTAGATCTTGGCACATTATAAGACATTACCAATCGATATCACAACAGTTTTAACAAATTTCAACTTTAGTTTCTTATCCGTTCAATGAATAACCTCATTTAATGAGATCTCTTAATTTCGTTGGCCAAAGACCATCATATTCATTTTATCACCTTTCATCATCTACATTTTCATTATCATTATTATCTGTCATCTTCACCATCATCGTCATCTTACAACGAGCACGGAGGCACGAGAACTTTAAATAATTTATTGAAGTATTAGAAAGATTGATATTAACAATCAACAAACTTCTACAATAGACAATCACGGGAATACAGTTTGTGTTCCTTTTTTAAATATATGTAACAAAAATATATAAACATTTTCCAGAATAACAAAAAACAAATTGAAAAAAAAGGTTAAATCATTAAAAAACAACAGTTAAAAAAACAAATAGTTCTTGAACGTGTATCTACGTGTGTTCGTCTATATGTTGATATTAAGAAAAGATTATTATAAATATTTTCAGCACCTTGCCCTAGCTATACATTCAATTACTTAATATCATTAGCACGAAGTTAATATGAAAGAACTAATTTTTGCCGACCAGAGCAGTCAAACAGAGTTTTACCAAAAAATATATGCCAATAAAGCAGGGATGAGCAAACTTTTTGCTGTGAGGGCCGCTTAGAGAACTATTTTACCTTTGAAGGGCCGTATATGTACTTAAATAGCAAATTTTTTTTAACTGGGGAAGAATTTTTTAAAATTGGTTGCTCCTTTTTTGGTCATATGCCTGGCTGATGACCTTTTTTTGGCAAACAAGGCCTTGCATAGGCTATGCGGCGCACCCCAGCAATAATAAAGCATATGAAAATTATTTCAATGATTATTTTATTATTAGTAGTAGTAGTATTAGTAGTAATAGTTATAACTCAAAACGCGAGTATCTTAAACTAAAATTATCATTAATTCATAGTTATAGGAAAAAAAAGAGATGACTTTTAATACGAAATAGCATATAGATATGAACAAATTTATTGATTTAATATCCATTAACTCAAAGACTCATCATCATTTATACATTGATTTGAAAAAAAAATTGTATGTACAGGCTTACACAATAACGGTAATTAATTAATTAAATCAATTTATTAATTTATTTATTTATTAAGTTTATTAAGTTAAGTAATTAAGTACACATATCATAATTAACTGATTAAATACTAATTAAAATTTGTTATTCACTATCATCATTGTAGTGAACAGTTCATGTCTTTACTAAATCAACATTTTTTACATAATAAAAATAATAACAACAATAACAATAATAATAATAATTATTATTATTAAATTTTATTTTATTCGTCATAATTTTCGTGCATATTAACAACAGCCAATGTTCTCTTTAAAAACAACAACAACCATTGATAAAGATGTTATACATATGTACAAGTGTCTCTATGTGAAACTGTTAT